GTGTGTGTGAGTGTGTGTTTGTGTGTGTGAGTGTGTGCGTGTGTGTGTGTGAGTGTGTGTGTACGTGAGTGTGTGTTTGTGTGTGTGTGTTTGTGTGTGTGTGTGTGTGAGTGTGTGTGTGTGTGTGTGTCTATGTGTGTGTTTATATGTTGTCTATTTGCTTTTATATGTTTTTAACATTGTGTGAGGGAGTGAGTGTATCTTATCATATGTGTGTGTATAAGTTTGTTTGTCTAGCATACTCTGTGTAGTGGCTGTGTTCAGTGTACATGGGTTCAACAACCCTATCAACAACACTATTTGATCGGCCGGCTCCGATAGGAAAGATAATCAGTTTTCTCTGGTTAGCGTGAATGTGTGTGTGTGTGTGTGTGTGTGTGTGTGTGTGTGTGTGTGTGTGTGTGTGTGTGTGTGTGTATGTGTGAGTATGTGTGTGTCAGTGTGTATTTTTGTGTTTGTGTGTGTGTTTGTGCGTATGTCTGTGTGTATGCTTGTGTTTGTGTTTGTGTTTGTGTCTGTGTTTGTGTGCGTTTGCTTGTGTATGCGCGTGTGTATGTGTGAGTTTGTGTGTGTGTGCGAGTGTGTTTGTTTGTTTGTGTATGTGTGTGTTTGTTTATGTATGTGTGTGTTTGTTTGTATATGTGTGTATGTGTGTGTTTGTGTATATATGTGTATGTCTGTGTGTGTGTTTGTTAGTGTATGTGAGTGTGTGTGTGTATGTGAATGTGTGTGTTTGTTTGTGTATGTGTGTATGTGTCTATATGTTTGTGTGTGTGTGTTTGTTTGTGTATGTTTGTGTGTATATATTTGTGTGTGTGTGTTTGTTTGCGTATGTATGTGTGTGTGTTTGTGTGTGTGTGTGTTTGTGTGTGTTTGTGTGTTTGCGCGTGTGTTTGTGTGTGTGTTTGTGTGTGTGTGTTTGTGTGTGTGTTTTGTGTGTGCGTTTGTGTGTCTGGATGTCTGTGTGTGTCTGGGTGTCTGTGTGTTTGCCCGTGTGTTTGTGCGTGTTTGTGTGTATGTGTGTGTTTGTGAGTGTGTTTGTGTGTCTGGATGTCTGTGTGTGTCTGGGTGTCTGTGTATTTGTGTGTGTATGTGTGTATATGTGGGTGTATGTGTGTATGTATGTGTTTATGTGTGTGTAAGTGTGTATATGTGTGTATATGTGTGTATATGTGTGTATATGTGAGTGTATATGTGTGTGTATACGTGTGTCTGTATATGTGAGTGTGTTTGTGTGTGCGTTAATGAGATGGAGGCCTGGGGTAGTGGGTGGGGGTG